TTTCCCCTAAAAGCAGGATTCTCACAGACAAAGGCAGGACCCACAAATCTGCTTTTCCACCGAAAGATGAATTTTCAGGACAGACAGAAAGGACCCACTAGTCTCTTCAACATGTCCTTATTACCCGGGTAAAAGAATCTTACTCCACTTTTCAGCCGAAAGCAAGAAAGTGAATTAATTTACCCTGAGTAAAAGAAAAGAGCAGAATGATTACCCAGGAGGAATTCGGAGTCTCTTACCTCTATATAAGGCAGCTCCCTCTCCTCATATCTCTCAAGCTTTGAAAACCTCAGACCCTCTCTAGTCTGGTTTCAAAGAAATTACAAGCCCTTTATACTTGTAATCCTACCCTCACTTGTAAGCCTTCTTCATGATGCAAAAGAAGAGCTCCCTTATTACCTCTTATTTTCATTAAATCATTAGTTCTAGTGTTGTAAGTGTTTATTTTCCTTATTTGAATATTTTGTATAATTTCATATCTGTTCCATATTCTTCTTTATTCCTTGAATTCCGCATGTCTTCATATTTGGTATCAGAGCCATCTGACGGCCTGGTGTATTACCTCTGAAATTTCATTTGAGTCATCTAACTTACAAAATTTATTATTAAATCTTTTATCTCTCTCTTTCTCTCTTTTACTATTTTTAAAAAACATAATACAAAAAGAAGGAGAAATAATATTTAAAAAAAAATATTTAAAAATATAAAAAATTTATTAGAATATGTATTAAAAAAATAAATAGTTAAAATAGAAAATATTATTCTTTAACTAGGTAAAATACATTTTATTATCGGAGATGCTCTTACCTAACCCCTGGTCCTAGCTCTTGTCGTCGCCCTCCCACCACCATCCAAACAATCCAACTTGTTTAATTTGTCTGTTATTGTCAGAGGGGACGAGAGAAAACTGAGGTCCTTTGTTTAAGTTGTCCATCTAGAATGGAGAATTACACTCACACCCATTCTTGAGTTGCTGAAATTATACGCAAGATACTCATTGTTACCAAAATTAAACTACAGCCCCCTGTGGTTTGGATTTTTATGTGTTGGATTCTCTCTCCCTTATGNGTTGCTGAAATTATACGCAAGATACTCATTGTTACCAAAATTAAACTACAGCCCCCTGTGGTTTGGATTTTTATGTGTTGGATTCTCTCTCCCTTATGGAACTGTTGGGTTGACTAACAAAATTTGCTAATATATCCTCTCTTTCTAAAAAAATACTAAATTTACCACTTGCTAACCAATTTAAAAAGCGAAAAGAAACCAAAAGGGTTAGCCCAGTGGTAAGCAAACTTAGAATTGAGGACAAGTACTTGATGAATTCATAACTCTTTTGGGTAAACTACGAATTAGCTTTTAATGTAGGAAAACCTTAAACTGAATAGGGCCCACTGGCCACCACCTTCCCTATTGGATCTTACGGTCACGGGTTTAAGACTCGTCGCCTCTCTCCCTATAATACTGTCGGACCCAAAAGAAGAACAAGGCATCCAAGGATACCAAGGGATTTTGCGAAGATTTATAGGGGGAAACTTGCATGGAACTCTGCAAAGCATAACAAACACTTACACTTCCAACCTAGTATACGAATTCAAATCTCATCCATTACATTTTTACTTAATTTCAACTCAATTGTAGATTTTATCCATCACGTTCGAGTGAATGACCCACTTATAAATAGTAAATCTCACTTAAATGAATGATAAATAATTTACAAAAAAGTAAAATTGTAATAAAAAAAAAATTGTAACAAAAAAAATATCAATGACGTTGACGAATTAATAGTCAGTTAATCAATAGGACTAATGAGCTGGACCCTACAAGCCAAGA